TAATACTTGGCTACCAAAAAGATATTACTAGTATAAGTTTTAGAAAAATGCAAAATAGACAGGTCAAGTGAGAACATTATTGTAGCACTTGGAAAAGAGAGTGCCAAAAAGATGTTATAAACAATAATATATACAAGCATACACGTCAAACTTCTTTGAACCTCCTTATCTAAACTAAGGTATATAGAGAGAGGAGACAAACAGTGACTGCAAAGTTATGCTGCATACTGATCTCCACCCATCAACAAATACTGTTATAAAAAAACTAGTCATGAAAATACACAAAATCTGAGCAGCAAAGCATATCACCATGACACCATCAAATAAAATCTCCTTAATCTGACAATTGCCTCAAGCAATATACAAATAATTAAATCAAAAGAAATTAGCAGCAGGAAGTACCAGCCTTCACCAGGGCATCCCAAAGCTCTTCAGGTAAAATGCAACCGTTGTGCTCTACATCAATTGCTTGAAAGATGCTATACAACTCAAGCTCCTTATCATCCATATACTTCCTGAACTCCTGATAATCCACCCTCCCATCCTTGTCGGCATCAACCACCCTCAGCAGCTCCTTGGCAAACTTGTAGTCCGCCGGAATCTGCATAGCCGACAAGCCCTTCTCGATTTGCGCGTAACCCAAGTGCCCGACATTGTCGGAATCAAAGAAACTGAACAGGCTTCGGATTCTGAGATCCCTCTCATCCTTGCTCTCCCCGAGAGCCGACAAGACGTGGTCCATGGATACAGGTCCGGGTTTCCTGACCGGGTTGCAGCAACCGGGCCGTTCTTTTTCAGCCATCGCCGGGAAATTCACATGCCCCACGGCCTCTCCAGCTGCAGACATGCTCGTCAGAAATCAGGGAACCTTCAACACATCGGATAGAAAATGCCAACTTCCAACGGTTCTCAGATCGATCACAGTGAGCCGGTCTAGCGAATCGAAGCGAGGGACTTATTGATTTACAGTGTTGTCTTATACGCTGTGCGCATTGGAGAAGATGGGCGATACAGAGGCGCGATAGAAGGGAATATTATATTGATGCTGCGGAGGATCTTCTTGGAGGAAGATCCGGGGAATGACCCGGATTCGGTAAAAACTGGTCTTCGGACCTGGTTCCAGGGTCAGAAATGGAACGGTCAACAGATTTCAAGTAGAAAGGTCGATGCTGTCGCTGTATGACCGACCGTGTAGGAGTGGGTGATTTGAATTTTGAATCGAAGAAGAAGAAGAATAAAGAAGAAGACTTATTAATGAGATACGGGTTGATCGGAAAGCAAAGAATCTACCATGGCCGGCTTCACTCACACGCGGAATTTCGGGTGGGGGAGAGAAGAGGGTGTGACCTGTTTACCGACTTATTACGGTTAATGGGCACACGTTTTGGGTGGGGAGGCCGGAGGGGAATAGAGGATGGTTAATTCTTTACGGGTACGCGGAAATGCAAGCAAAAATGTAGTCGTTCTAGAATAATGAAAATAAAAAAAAAATATTTTAAAAATTTATGGTCGAGATCAAAAGGTCATGGACGAAACGTGAAACTAGGGGCTGGAACATATTTGGATTCGAGGGCATCCGTGTTAGGTGGCGAAAAAGAAGGCTTGGTAGAGATCATGATGAATAAGAGGCTAAGAGTGGAAGAAGCCACAGTACTGCTGGACTATCCCCCTCCGGAACCGCCGTCATGGAGTGCAGAAGAGTCTAGGGTTTGGAAGCAACATTTTAATTTTACCGTTTGCTTGCTATTTATTTTTCATGATCAGACTATTTATTTTTCTATTGGTTACTTTTATTGTTGTAAGACTCTTGCATTAGAATTGGGTGATGGGAGGTCTGCTTTAACCGTCGTTGGTTCATTTATGCCCATTATAGGATCAGCGAGACATATTACTTTTTTGAAGGTGATTGATTCTAAGTCTTGTTCGAGGGCTGTCGATTTCTTGTGGTCCTTTTGTCGTTTTACCCCATATTTGAATGTTGTGATATCAATTTAAGCCCCCTTCTTCAAAAAAAAAAATTGCAGGAGCTAGAGTCATGATTTTAATGCTTGAATGTAATATTCTGTTTTGCATCGAGCCACGGTTCTATATTGTCATTTTTTATTTTTTGATGCATGGACAGCTAAAATTATCAAGTGTTTCAAATTTTTTCTATTTTTTATTTTTATAGATTGCCAATTTCAAACTATTTGTAACTAAATTACTTTGTTTCTATTTTCTGCAGATTTTTCCTTGAAGTCTTTACTCGTCTGATAATGTAACTTTCAATTTTCTTTTCAGATTTTTCCGACTAAATATTGTTTGGGTTCATGGGCGCTACCGGTAACCAATTGTACGTCGGAGATGTCATGATAAGATATTTTTGAAATTATTCTGAACTTTGAGATTCAATGACCCCTCCCCCATTTCCCTAATTCCAATTTCATCGTACGCTTGTATCCTCCATCTCTAACCTTCAAAATCAACATCACCGTAAAGAGTAGACTTCCTTCATTGATGCAGTCCGACAGCTCGGCGCTCACACCCAGACGGACGGCTCGGTGCTTGCACCCAGACGGACGGTTTGTGTTTGCACCCAAATGGTCAGATGCTCATGTCGCACTAGACGCTCTCGATCGCGTCTTGTTGACTCCTCCTAGCCGATGAAACTCATGCGTCCACTGCAAGCCAGATTGGAGCTCACAGTGACCAGATTGAAGTTTGCTCGCATACTCCCAACGCTCATTAGTAGATAACAAGATACTCAATGAATATGTTTTAATGTTCAATGCAGAGTTCCAATGTTCAATGAAGATGTTTGATCACATACCCTTAATGCTCAATACTACCAAACGATTCTCAATAAAAATCTTTTGATGCTTGATACAGAGTTCCAATGCTCAATGAAGATGTTTGGTCACATAGTCTCAATACTCAATCGGAGACTTGCAGTGCTCAATATAAGAGGTTTGATACTCAGTTGCAGAGTGACAAACCTCTTATATTGGCTCCTCTTCGACCACAAAAATCCAATCCCCTGGACAGGCTGGAACGTCGGTTAATATTGAGCGACCAGGTACATCCGTAAATGGGAATTTTGACGGTAAAGGAAAGGTCTTAACGGATGAAGACCATTTTGATACACTTGCACTGCTAAACGCAACGGAAAAATACTCTTTCTATGGAGGATATGGGTTTGACTCAGTCAAAATTGCATCTACATCCTTTAAATTTGCAATGAAAAATGGAGATTTGGTCTTCTTTCAAATTAAAAGATCTCTTATGCATAAAATACACATCAAAGTCGACCTTGTCCCGCAAATCATCCGGTTCATCTACCAGCTCACAACCCCTGCTCAGAATAATTCTGAGAAAATAAAGAAATTTGGAGATCTCACTATCTCTGTGGAATTTAACAGATCGGGCTACAACGTAAAAATGGCGAAATTTAAGGGGAGCTTCATCCGGATACCCATGGGACCCCAAAATTCTAGCCTATTCAAATTCCTTAATATCTTTTCTAATTTTGCAGGCATCCCAAACTCTATGCCCGATGAATCAATATTTCTCCAACACAGGCGCGTATTAGAACCTGAGGATCACACATCCATATCTAAACTGATTTTTAATTATCAGATCCAGGCGGCAGGAAATAAGAATAATCAGGTCTTCCACGACGGGAAAAAACCCGAACTGCCATTGATCCAAGCTTTCTCAGATGCATCTGATGATTTTTACCATTCAGATGACTCACTATTTACCGATGATTTCTTGGGACATGCAACCGAGAGCGATCGCCGTCCTCCTATTTCATACCCGGAAGAAATTAGGAAATCAAAATTCATTACTGTGATCTGCCGGAAAACTAATTTCATCACCTCAGAAAATTATATGCCGACTGAGAACTTGAACACGCAGCTAAAAATCTACAGGAAGTCTCAAAAGAATAAGAGGCGACACAGCATGCAAACTAGGTCCCAATCGAGAGATTTCCCATGGGATTAGCCTTCTTCTCCTTTAATTTAGTACTTTTATTTATCTTTTTTTCTCTTTCTTGTACTTCTTTTTTTTGTTTCCCTTTTTCGCATTGTACTCTCAATTTTTCTCAATAAAATCTCCCCTTTCCAAAAAAAAATGGGGTGTTAATGGACCTGAACGTTGGACATTGAATCATCCATAAACTGCTGCATTAAAAGACAAGAACGTTGGGCATTTAATGGCTGTCACCGCTTGGAGCAGTTCTGGTGCGCAAACGTTACGGGAAGAAACAAAATTAGACCGTATCTTTGAATGATAGGTTTCCGGACGACATTCGTGTCCGCAGGTCGCCCGCGCACACGAGTCGCGAGTTTTCTTCTCCGTTTCGGGATTTGATCGGCACCCCCCCTGCGCGTAAAAGAGAGCCTTTACCCTTAGGAATCTTAACTCCTTAAAAGAGGCTTCCCTTTATAAGGGGGTGAAAATCCCTTGAGTTTTTCGGTGTGGGATAAAACATACTAGAAACCCATCATTTTTTCAGTTTTTACATTTCAACGAGTGAACTTCGAGAATCAATTTCTCATTCACCCGTTATCCGTTTTGAGTGTACCACATATCGAATTGTAGCCCTTAACAAGGACAATCCGAAACCACCCCTACCGACCCAAATCGGAAGTGGACCCCACTCAAATAATTGCCCCAAAAAGACCATTTAATGCAATTTTTAACACATTATTCCAACAGATATTGCTTATTCAGACAAATGAAGATGGAAAACAATGTGTATATAACCTGCTTCTTAGAAATGGGTTTAAGAAAATGCTTTCCCATTTAGGAAAATCAGCATACTTGGCTACCAAATAATTCAACTCGATTATTACTCTTTTTTCGAGTTGGAGTGAGGAGAAAATTTGAAATGCAAATTGAAGCAAAGCATATGTCAAAAAATAGGCAAATTCACTTCATCATATTTTATGTTCTCAATCTGATCCAAAATTTGAAGAAGACGTACTTTCAAACAGAAGTCAAACATACCTAGGTGCAACAAAAAGAAGAATATAAAAAAGAGGATATGAATTTCAACAGAATAAAAAATTGAAAATTGAAAATGGGTGTGAAGAATTTGACAAGTGCAGCGGAACTCAAAGGCGTCTGTCTTTACTGTAATCAATTCCGAGGGCAAAAGAATGAATAAAATAAAAGAGGTAAAAGGGATGGCAGGAGTCGAAACAACATCAAGGAATTGCTGCGTGAACACTAATCTGGAAAGTTCGCTTGGTGATTGAAGAGCGTCTCGAGCAAGAAGGTGATTTCCCTGTAACAATGAAGGGCGGTTTCCTGTAGAATAGCAATTATCCGGTTGATTTCCTCCAGGTAGGGTGCTGAAGTAGATTCTTTGAGAGCTTTGCATAATACCACCGAATCAGGACCCTCTCATATCTCATCCTTTGACACCATTTCAGAGCTTCTAACACTGTCTGAGCTTCTGCTTGAAGAACAGAGGAAACAAAAGTGCAGAGATAAAATTTATGTCGATCTGCATCGCGGAGTATAGCATCAGTACTAAGACGCAGAGAGTGAGGGTGAGCACTTTTCCAAACTAATACTCTAGTCAATAATTCCGAACAACTTGCAACGGACTGTTTTAACCTCTGTTGCTTTCCAATGCTATAGTAGTAATAGAGAAACTTAGTACACCACACTACTATGAAGCTTAGACGGTTACACTAAATATGACCTCGATCAAGTGACTAGTTTAGTAACGCGTTCGTGGTAATGTCCAAGGGACATTAATTCCTCGGTTTAGGTTGGGTGAATATGTGAGTAATATGAATACAATATTTGAATACATAAGAAACAAGTATGGTTAAATAGTGAAATTCTATAGCTAAAAGTCATAAAAAAGATTCTTTAAGAGGGTTTCAAAGTGGACTAACTGCCTGCCCTTTAACACTTATATTCACATCTATACAATCTGATACCTCCCTTTTACGGTTCATATATAGCACCTCGGGAGCACCTTTCTAAGTACGCTAAACAAATTCAACAATTTATACAACAATACCAAGTTAGTTGCAGTAGTCGTATAAAAATTCGTATGATTAACTTAGTTGAAGTAAAAAAAAAAAACTAAGCAAATATTGGATTATGCAGGTCCTTCACTACTTTTGAAACTACAATGCATTCTTTTCTCTCTTATTTTTATATAAAAGATTCTTTAATGTGTGCTCTTCCAAATCTGTTCTTTTTTTAGCTAGGCAAATCTGTCCTCTTAAAGCTCATTGTAAACTTTTATATAAAGGTATAGATAGTTAACGGGTTAGTCTAATGGTTAGAGCAAGGTCTGCAAATTAATTGTTATATTAGCATAAATGGCTGTAAGTTTGAGTTTATCACATAGAGTTTGTCGGTCTGGTGCCCTTACCCCTTCGGATCCTAAAACCAGATAGTTCACTACCACCACCCCTAGCAAGTTAGTGTCCCCATTCCAACAGGGTACCAAACACCCTCCTCTCACGATAAGCATTTCCGCCCGCAGAACAAACAGTTCCTTTTGTTATTTTGTTTCTACCGGTGAACCGACCCTCAACTTGGTAAATAAATACTTCTTGCTGGCACTTTCTTCACCTCAAGTACATTTAGATTCTTATGGAGTCTGTATTATGTTGAGATAAGGTCAATCTTAATATGAACATAAACAAGTTGATATTAAAAGTTAAAGTATCATACGTCGAGAATATAGATATAAAATGACAATGCTATTTAACGAAAAATCAATGAAACTAAAAATGGGAAATAAGGTAAAACGCTAGCTAGGACAAAATTCCAATAGGAAATTAAGTGTGCATGCATGTAATATCACACCAGAGACTACGAACTATTCATATTCAGTAAGATTGAAAAGAAAGATCGATTTAGCCTTATGTAGACACCTCTCTAAAGCAATTTTCTACAAGGCACTATGTGGTTGGGTTACCTTTTAGCAACACAAAGATATAGAGCGGGAGAGAAGCTCGTACATTTGGAAAATTTTTACATTCCTAATTTTGTGAATTTTCCGAAGGGGTCCTCCAGTCCCCCACTCCTTGAGGCACATGTAATGTGGTGAAGAGGAGTAGAGGGGTGCCTGCTTTCATCACGAGGCCGAAGGCTTGTGCTATTTTGTTTCATTTTGGGGGGATGCCTCGTTAAAAACCTCATTAGGAAAAAACCCTTTGGGAAAAAATCCTAATGAGGGAAAAAGAGTGCACCAAGTTCCCCCAATGATGAATAAAAAAGGTGAACTCTTGGTTTGAGGTGAAGAGCAATGTTGCCGCCGAGAGCTATCCGTGACCTGAGGGTTTGGTCGATGATTTTGCCGAAGGTTCTTCGTTGGTAACCTGGTGATGCTGAAGGCTGATGCTGATATCCCGGAGGTGTTCCGGGTAGTATCTGCTGGGAGCACTCCTCTGAAAGCATCCGTAGTTGATAAGCGTGAGTGAGTATTCCCTGATATCTTAGCCGGAGGCTAACCACACATGAGGGGTTGTGAAGGTGTGGCTCCGGGAGAGTTCCCTGTTTTTCAACGTGCTGAGGGCTGAGGGGTCCTGAAGTAAAACAACGTGCTGAGGGCTGAGGCTAACCACACATGAGGGGTGATTGCCCGGGTGTTTTGTTTTTAGAAGTAACCCGACCGGGTTAGGGTTTATACCCGGCCGGGTCCCATCCCAGTCCATTTTTTTTTGAAATGTGTAAAAATAAACTAAAACAAGTAAACGTACCTTGCTTGGGTTGCCTCCCAAGAAGCGCCTTATTTAACGTCGCGGCACGACGCCATCATTGTGTTCAATCATTTAAACTTGGATCGTGATAGTTTAGCTTCGGCACATTTTCACTCACAGGGCTTCCATAGGAATGCTTGTTTCTCTGACCCTTCACTTTGAAAATCCCTCCAGGATCAAATATCCAGTTTTTCATTGATTCATGTGGTGAGAGTGAGGGAAAGAAATTATCATTTAGGATGGTCAATGAAAAGTGTTTTGATCTTGGTGGCATGAGAGGGGGTATCAAATGTTTACTTAACTCCACTGTCATTTCCTGCATATTGGTGAATGAAAAGAAATCCAAATGATAATTTCTCGGTTTATTTTCAACCGCGAAAAGTACATTTGAATTATCCTCAAATTTGCTGAGGATTTCATCTTTGTTCTTCTCTACCCTTTCTGTTTCCCTTAGAGCCTCAGGAAATGGTGGCATGTTCTCAGGAATGGCCGGTGATGGAGTTGAGTTTTGAAGTTTCTCCTCCTCTGGTTGAGCTTCCTCCGTAAGCTCCTCTTCTTCTTCCTCCTCGCCAATGTGGTTCACAATGTTTGGCACTTGTTTCAATTGATTCTCCAAGTTCAGTTCTTTGAGCACTGTTTCTTGCGGGTATTGCGACATATCTTGTTGCATTTGTGTCACATTGATAGTGAGAGCTCGGATCATGTCTTCAGTGGACATGCTGGAATAATAACTTGAGTATGGATTATATGTGTTGGAGAATGAATCATACCTCTCTTGGAAAACAACATCATCACTCTGTTCAAAGTATTCTTCTTGCAGCTTGGGGCAAAAATCCGTAAGATGCCTTTGTGACATGCAACTGTTGCAGGCCTTGGTATCTTGAACGTTTGAGCATAAGAGAAACTCCTTTACTAAAAATGTTAAGCTAGAAATTTGACTCTCTAGCGATGATGTGTTGGTATCCATTTACTCATATAAGCTCAGAAAATAGAAGAGCAAGAGATTTTTTTTTTAAATAATTTTTTTTTTATATTTTTTTTGTTTTGATTTTTATGAGATAAAATAAAAAGAAAAATAATTGCCTTTCCCCGGCAACGGCGCCAAATTTGACGAGCACTTTGTCACGGTGCGTCAAAATAAATTCAATACTAAACACTTATACGTAGTATAGTGTAGTAGAGTTCGTATCCGCAGGGAAATGTATAATTCTCTTTCTATGAACTTAATGAATAACAAGGAGGGTTTTGGTTTGAGTGATTTAATTTAATTAAAAACTAAGATGAACAACCTATATGTGTTTAATTCAAGAATAAAAGGGACTTGGCTTTGCTACTTTCCACTTGTTGATATATTTTAGTCGATCCTTGTTATATCTATAACTTATCCCCTCTCGAATACTCAATCGAGGAGTATCTCCAATTCATCGAGGGTAGTTATTAACAACGACCGTTCATTAATAACCCTTACTATTAATCAAATATAGAACAACGCCTTATACCGATATAATAGTAGCATTTAATCTTTTTAACTCCTTGACGAAATCAATTGAGATTGATAACCTTAACACAACGGTTTCGGTTTAACCAACAAAATTGATCCCTCTTAAGTCTATTAACCACGACCGTGCATTAATAAACCGAAGTTACTTGCGAAACCACCAATGATTAACCATCGGTTCGTTGATCGTTTCTAGTAGTAATTAATGTTGGAACGTTAACTAATCGTCACTTAGCAACCCTCCAACATTAATATAGAATGAGATTAAGGGAAGAATTAATAATCAAGAGAAGAAGTTAAGAAAATAACTCACAACTTTAATAATCAACAAGCTTCAAGAGCAAAACCAAGAATGGAAGTTTAGCTCCTCATTTGGAGACTAAACATAGCTAGAAAAATATAAAGAAATGCTATTCTAAACTGAGCTAAAGAGTATGGAAGAAGGGATGATTTTTTGTGAAGAAAAAGTGTGCTATTTATAGGTGTTTTTCAACACCTTTGGCCGGGTACCCGACCGGGTATAGTACTTACCCGACCGGGTCCGGTCAAAATCAGATAATCCGCCACGTTCTGGTGATCTTCGCACGTCGTTTTGTCCCGGGTCACATCTGACCCGACCGGGTCAAGTAGGGGACCCGACCGGGTCTAGTGACTTTCTTGGCAATTTCGTCTGTTAAATCACACCCGACCGGGTGGGGGTTTCTACCCGGTCGGGTTTGACTCCTGGGCAGTCAAATTTCTTGTTTTCTTCTCTTCAAAGTCTTCCTTTCCGACACCACAAATCCTAACTATACTTTACAACTTATAAATGAGAATTAAAATACGATTACAACTAAAATCACACAAATGTTTACAAACTAAATAAAACGGTAAACAATACACACAAATCAATCATAAAAATATACATTTATGCACTACTAATTAGTGCATATCAAGCCCACTCTAGATCAATTCTTCCTCTCCTTCAACCTCTGCCGGGGAGGTCACTCAATTGTCCCTTCGTCTCACAAGGGATGGAAAGACAAGTTTTGCTATGTTCGCATGGCGGAGAATCCCTTCCCGGCCCCACTTCGCGATAGCTTCCGGAGGCATGTAAAGGTAGGGAGCGCCGCTTTGGAGAAGAAGGGGAGGAAACTCTCCAAGAAGCCTGAGGGATCTGAGAAGCATGTCAAGATTAAGGATGCCACCCTTCCGGACGAGCTGTACAAGCTCGGCTTCCGCCGGTATCAGCTCATGGGGGAGGAGGCCGAAAATTATCCTGAGATTGATCGTGTATACAAGAGCGCCGAAGGTGGTAGCATTGCCGAGGGATTTAGTTTGTGTACTTAGCAAAATTTTCTTCCTTTTCTTTGTTGTAGTAGTATTCTAACACTTGTGTGCCTTCCTTGTTTTTCAGGACCAGATATGGACGCTAGGAATCTCTCCAAATCGAAGAAGCAACTGGTGAAGGAGAACAAGAAGAAAGACGCCCCGGTGCAGCAGAGGGCGGTGGATGACATCTTCCCAAAGGTGGGAACTGTCGACTGGGCCAAGGAGGCAGTGCCCGTGGTGAAGGCTGCTGCCGGCGAAGACGCCAGCTCTGATGCCGGAGGCTCTCCCATTGGGGAGCTAAAGAGGAAAAGAGCCGGGAAGGGCGTGGTGAGCCCGGAGGAGAAGAAGCAAAAGAAGGGGTTCGTCGGGATGAAATAGGATCCCGTTGTCATTGTTGATAAACAACCCTCCGAGCCCTCGGCTCCGATTGCTGGTGTGCCGTGGCCTCAAGACCATGTGCAGTTCTCAATCACTAAGGGGACTGCTGTCATGCATGGCACCTTGAATCCGAAGGAGTTCCTGAGGGGTGTCACTCCCCCGACAGATAAGTCAGTGCTCTCCCGGCATGCTGATGACGCCCTTTGCTCAAAGGTCCTTCAGGCCTCGATTATTGTAAGATCCCTTTCCCTTCTTCCCTTTAGTCAATTCAAACTCAACATATTTGTGCGTAGTGACTTTAACCTTCGATGTTTCCTGATCCCCCTTACAGGCAAGCCTTGGCCTTGGTGAGCTCATCCAGAGGATGGAGCGCTATGCCCTTCAGAAACAGAAGGATGACGAAGCCTTGGTTGTGGCCTGAAGGAGGCTTTGGGATGCCGAGGAAGATTTCGAAGTCGAGAGGGCGGCCCTCAATAAAATTCTTGATAACTCCAAGACAGTGGCCAAGGCCGAGGGGAGAGCTGAGGCTGAGAAGGTAGCTGCTGAGGCCGCTAAGAAGACCGCTAAAGATGCCGAGGCCGCCAAGAGGGAGGCGGTGAGTCATGCCGAGAGGGAAGCGGTGGCCGCCTTTGTCGTCGAGGGGTGGAAAACCGAGACCCAGAAGGAGTGGGTGGCTTCGGTAGTTGAGACCTCGGTAGACGAATGGCTCGAGGCCCCGGGGCGATGTGGCTAGCCCGGAAGGGGAAGGAGTACTACGATGGGGGCAAGTACTTTACTCAGGCCCTCATCTATCGAAGGCTAGCCATGCACTTGGGAATGGACCCGACAACATTTGATCCGGCGGCTTATGAGCTCCCCCCTCTCCAGCCAGACACCCAAATTCCCCTTCCCGAGGGTGCTAAGAGGCCACATCTCGAGGACACCGTCTTGATGGCAGAGTGCAACGATGAAGAGGAAGAGGCCGGGGATGATGTCACCTCGAAGCCAGCAGAAGCGGATGCCTCCGGAGCAAACAACCCTTGATTTGTACTTACAAATATTTTGTAACAAACATTCGTATGCTTCCGGCTTCTGTCATGATTGTAAACAAACACCTCATGTGGTTTTCTCTTTTGTAATTGTATGCCGTTTGACTTTATTCCTTTCCATCCTTCTGATGAATGAATGCGTTCCTTTCTTCCCCTGTCTGCTTTATTTTCCTTCGTATGAATGTATGTTTGCTTGGTGTACCGGCCGAGGGCTAACCATTTAGGACTTAGAAAAAAAATTCTAAATGTTGTTCAGTATCTGGCCCTCGGCATGAGTTGACCGAGGGCAAACCATTTAGGACTTAGAGAATTTTCTAAGTGATGTGCATTATGTGGCCTTCGGTTATTAGGCCCCCTTGCTTTCATGATGATTTGACTGAGAGGCGAACGGTTAGGACATAGAAATTTTTCCAAGTGTAATTTTACCACTGAGCCTTCGGTTGTGTGACCCCTCTGGCTGCGTGAAGATTTGATCGAGGGCCAAACATTTAGGGCTACAAATTTTTTCTAGGTGTCACTTGTCCCTTGGCCTTCGGTAAACGGACCCCGTGAGTACTAGCCTCCGGTGTTGATCGTGGTGCTGGAGGTTGTTGAAATTTAGACTTTAAGAGCATGTTTGTGAGTACTCGCCTTCGGTAGTGTGTAGCATGCGCCCTCGGCCATAGTGGGTCACAAAGTGTGGACTTAGGAAAATTTTGTAGGACATTCCTGTTGAAGTAAGGGCGGACGGAAAGCGGATGCCTTCGGTATTCCTTGAGTTGTTGTTGAGTGGACTTAGCCAATTTTATCCCTTTTGTGGGATTAGAGCCTCCGGTATTGGTGACGCCAGAGGCAGCCAGAAAGTGGACTTGGCCTATTTTTGACAACGTCTGTCGTAGAGTAGCCTTCGGAGTAAGAGCCACCGTCAAAGGTGACTTCCTGACTAAGAGCCTTCAGGTACCAGAGGTGTTCCCCAAGGAAGCCTTCGTTATGAGATTGGAATGCCTTGTGAGGAACTGCCGAAAGGTGTTTTGTTAGGGTTTGTACTCATTGATTGCTCGTTGAGTCTACTCCCCTCCACTCCATATTTTTTTTGGTAGTGAAGGGAAGGCTTCAAGAAACTTGGTTTCTTGGTAAGGCTTGGCCTATCGGGAGGCAACAGTATACACCATTAGCTCCCCCCTCGGGTTAACCTTCCGGGTTCCGAGGGGATCAAGGGTCATTTCCTTGGCACGAGACATTAACCGTTGCCTGCCCCCCCTTGGGGGATGGCACGGAAAGCGCCTCAGTTTTGAAAGTCGTCCCCTCAGCTCGAGACATAGTCTGTTGCCTGCCATTCTCTTGAGGTAATGGCGCGGGGAGCGTTTCGTTTTTGAAAGTCCAATCCTGAGGCATATTAGTTGTCTGCCGTTCCCTTGGGGTAATGGTGCGGAAAGCGTTTCAGGAAGGGTTTTATTTGCATATTAGTTCCAAAAAGGCCGGGGTACTTGATACCTCTGGCACCGAGAGGTGAGGTACGGCTTAAAAAATAACACTTGGTGTTTATTTTTGCACACTCCCCCGGTACTTGGTGTCGAGGGGTCTTCGTTGAAAACACTTGGTGTTTTTCTTCATTGTGGTAGGTGATTCGGGTGTCTATCCTCGGCACTTGGTGCCGAGGGGTCTTGATTGTAATAAGGCCTTGGGCCAGGTGCTTGTATGATGGCTTGGCCGCTCACAAGTGTTTCGTTCTTGGTGTCTTCAACATGTCTTCATTCTTCAAAAAAAATGGAGGCCTTGGGCCATAGGATAATACATTCATTAGTTATGAGGGCTTGGCCGCTCCAATATTACTGATAAAATTAAACTAGATGATGTATATTCCAATGTCGGGGGACCTCGGTCCCGTTGTGGCGTTTGAGTTTGTAAGTTCCTGGTTTGATGACGGCTGCAATGATGTATGGACCCTCAAATTTGGGCGCCATTTTACCGCCCTCGGTTGCTTGGCTAGCTTCCCTTCTTCGGAGAACATAGTCCCCCACCTGAATTTCTCGGGAACGAACCTTGGCATCGATGTTGCCCTTTACTTGCCTTCGGTAGTTCTCCGCCTGTTTGAAGGCTTGCTCTCGGCGTTCTGAGATGAAGTGAAGGTCGAGAGCCATGTTGGCGTCGTTAATTTCCGGATCATATTGGGCCACCCTTCGGGTAGGAAGGGTTACTTCAGTGGGAGCCTTGGCTTCGAATCTGTAACAAAGGGAGAAAGGTGTTTCACCTGTTGCCCGTCGAGGGGTGGTGCGGTAGACCCATAAAATGTTGTGGAGCTCTTCTATCCAGCCTCCCCTTTCAGCTTCGAGTTTCTTTTTCAAGCCCTCGAGTAAAGTTCGGTTGGCGTTCTCCACTTGTTCGTTGCCTTGAGGGTAGGCAACGGATGAGAACGTATGCTTGATGCCCCATGCCTCTAGGAGGGCACAGAAGGGGGCTGCCTCAAATTGAGTCCCGTTGTCGGTGATGATTTGTTGAGGGACGTCAAACCTTGTGAGGATCTTCTTGAGGATAAAGTGGCGACATCTAGCTTCGGTGATGCTGGTGAGGGGCTCAGCCTCCACCCATTTGGTGAAGTAGTCGATGGCAACGATGATGTACATGTTGTTGGAGGTACCCCTCTGCAGAGGGCCCACCAGGTCTATGCCCCATCTAGAGAAGGGTATGGACGTGCTGATGGGGGCATAGTTGACCGCTGGCCTACCGGGAGCCTTCTGAAAGTGTTGACAGACAGCACACCTTCGGGCGATATCCGCACAATCTCGGGTCATCGTAGGCCAGAAGTATCCTTGGACTATGAGCCTTTGGGACATGGAGAAGGGTCCCTGATGAGCTGAGCAAGTGCCACTGTGCACTTCCTCCATTGCAACTTCGGCTTCATCCTGATGAAGGCACCGAAGGAGGGTACCGTTGTCAGATCTTTTGTAAAGCCCTCCATCCTCGAGGGTGTAGCTGGGAGCCTTCAATTTTGCTAGCTTTGGACGGGCCTCGTCCTCGGGCAGTTGCCCTGTGGTGATGAAGGTGGTGATGTCAGAGATCCAGTTCTCCGGCCTGAGATGTATATCCATGATGGGGCTCGCATGTATGCTTGAGAGGCTGAGCTCTTCGATTCTTGCAATCTTGGAGAGGTGCTCCGGGGATTCGGCCGAAAGCTTTGATAAAACATCGGCCTCAGAATTTTGAGCCCTCGGTATTTGGATGAGAGAGTGTGCCTCAAATATCTTGAGCAATTATTTAGCCGCCTCCTTGTATTGTTTCATCCTCCCTTCCTTGGCCTCATACTCCCCGGAGATTTGGCCCACGACAAGCTTGGAGTCACACTTGACGTGGATCATTCTGGCCTTCATATTTGCTGCCAACCGAAGGCCACAGAGGAGGGCCTCATATTCGGCTTCGTTGTTGGACACTTTGAAGAAGAAGCGAATGGCATAATAGGCGCGGAATCCCTCGGGAGTTATGAGGACTACTCCCCCTCCGCATGCTTTGGTGGCCGAGGAGCTGTCGGTATAGAGGGTCCACCATTCGTCTAGAGGGGCCGAGGGCTCCTCCTTCACCGCTGATCTTGCGGTGCATTCTGTGACGAAGTCTGCCAGGGCTTGGCCCTTGATGACAGGCCTCAGACGGATGTCTATATTGTACTGGCTGAGGAAGATAACCCATTTTACCATTCTGGAGGAGCTGGTGGGACTCCTCATAAGGGCACCGAGGGGTTGATGTGTGAGTACATGGACCGGGTGAGCTTGAAAGTAGTGGTCTAACTTCTTGACAGTCCAAACAATGGCTAGTACTGTTTTCTCCACGGGGGAATACCTGAGTTCTGCCTCCCTGAGGGTCTTGGTAACATAGAAGATGGCATGTTAGACGCCATCTTCTTCCCGGATGAGCACTGAGCTGATGGCTGCAGGGCTGACGCCAAGGTATAGATATAAGGTCTCCCCTACCTTGGGCTTGGAGAGCACATGAGGAGAAGAGAGGAACTTTTTGAGCTCGTCGAAGGACCCTTGACACTCAGTTGTCCATTGGAAGCCTACTGTCTTCCTCATGATTTGGAAGAAGGGGAGGGCCTTCTCTGCTGATTTGGAGAGAAAACGGTTGAGGGCCGCCAGGCGAACTGTCAATCTCTGAACCTCCTTCACGTTGCATGGGGGCTCCATATTGATGATGGCTTGAATTTTTTCAGGGTTGGCCTCAATAGCCCTTCGGCTAACCATGTAGCCAAGAAACTTCCCTCCTTGCATGTCGAAGGTACACTTCTTTGGATTCAACCGAAGGTTGAATTTCTGCATGATGGCGAATATCTCCTGGAGGTCCTTGGCGTGGGTGTTTGATTTCTTGATTTTGACGATCATATCGTCAACATAGGCCTCCATGGTGCATCCCAAGACGGCTTGAAAGACTCTGGCCACCATACGGGTGTAGGTGGCGCCTGAGTTCTTGAGGCCGAAGGCCATCACAAGATAGCAAAAGATGCCTTCCGGTGTCATGAAGGCTGTTTTCTCGGCATCCTCTTCTTGCATATAGATTTGATGGTACCCGCGGAAAGCGTCGAGGAATGACATGATTTCGCATCCCGCGGTCTCATCTACCAGCTGATCAATATTTGGTAGAGGGAAGGGGTCCATTGGGCATGCCTTATTTAAGTCAGTGTAGTCCACACACATGCGGAAGGTGGGTAGCTTCTGTGCTAGTACCACATTAGCCAACCACGAAGGATATTTCACCTCCTCGATGTGTTTGAGGGGGAGGAGCATGGCGACCTCCTTCTTGACAAAGTCCCTTCTCTCGGCGGAGAGGGGCCTTCTTCTTTGCTGTACTGGTTTGGCCGAAGGGTCTACCGCCATGCGGTGAGTGATGACCCTTCAGTGGATCCCCGACATATCCTCCGGCCCCCATGCAAAAACAAATGTTAGTACCCAATTTTGATAGATTTTGATGATGCCACTATACTTAGCATGTGTACATTGTATCTCAATATTGTTCGTGTGTTAGCATTCAAAATTATGTGACAAAATAAAATGTACAATTTTTTGAGTCAATTTAAATATTACCGGAAAAATTAAAATGCAATAAGGTAATTTTTATTTACCTAAATAGGATATTTAGATCCTACCGGTATATATTATTTTAGCTCAAAAGTTAACTGTATG